AAAACATTGGTAATTTTGATTATAACCCTTTTTTCCTGCTGTGCACTCAAGATTTTCATATTTTTTTTCAGGATGACGAGACCAAATTATTGAATTATTCTGAATGCACACATTACGCATTCATTGTGTACTGTAGTACAGTTAGTTTTGTTTAGATTTCTCTGATAGGGAATATTGGATTCTTAATGTATATCAACAGTAGTTTAGTTTCTATTGTAAAAATTAAATTAACTTATCTCTTTTTCTTTAAAGGTGAATTATCTCGCGGCACAATGTGGACACACCTGTGGGGACACTGTTCGCCGAATTATGGCAAAGCTTGGGACAAACAAGCTGTGGTCCTTATTTAGTTTTAAAGGCCGGAAAGGAAAACAAGCTTTTAAAAGTTTGAAGTTGTGCAATATAATTATAAGTAAGTAATACTCATCATTCATTTGGTATATATAGTTAGCATTAAACGAAGATTGGAATATATGTAAAGCATGATATGGATTAACCAGCCCAATATTATAATAATATTTCTAGTCCTCTGCCCAGTTCTTTATAAATATTTGTATTATAACTGGCGAATATCAACCAATAAAAGATAGAATGAAGTTTTAATGTATAACAATGACTTTTCTCTTTTATTTTTAATTATTTTTATGAATTAAAATTATTTAAAATTCATTTAAATGCTCTGAAGATGTTGTATTGTGAAGAAGAAAACCAGTTAACTAATAGCTAGTGCAATCGCCTTACTAATAATATTGGTATTTTTTCAGAGGCCTGTATGAGGAGCCACCAGAAAGCCACCGAACTCAGTGTTGAAGAGCACATCTCAGAGACCCTGAAGCATGCTCCAAACAAGCCTGGTGGTTCAAGATATCGGGTAAATTTAGCATTTTGTTTACAGTGTAACCTACATTACTAAGTCATGATATACGTTCTGTGATATATCGTGTGCGTGTGTGTGCGTGTGTGCACGCATGCGTGTATATATTTAACAATTATTCACCGAAGTGGAGGTGAATGGTGCAAGAATAATCGCAGAGACGCGATGTTTTGGCACTACCCACCTCCCGAATATATGCCAAATCGTATACATCTAAATATTGTTTAATACGTTTTTGTTCATATAGGTCGTGGACGAGTCTCAAGAGAAAGAGAGAGATAATATTTAATAGGAATTATGTTTTGTTTTTAGACTTGTATAAATGTAGCATATGTCAGAATAAATTAAAGGATTTTATTTAAAATGCATTGTATGTGTCGTTTTAGTCAGTACGCTCCATGTTTCTTGTATCTTTTGGATAAACTTTCCATTTCGAGTCACAGCTAGATATATTAGATCAGTAAAAAGCGCATATTATACATACCGACATACAGTATATGTGTCCAATGATTTACTCTAACAGGCTTAGGTCTACATATGACAGCCATATACGATAGTAAATTGCAGAAAAGCTTTTTCTTGCATAAATAAATCAGTAACAAATTAAAGGATTGAAAAGACCCTTCCGACAATTGTTATCATGCTATTAATATCTTGCCGTACACAACGCGACAATATTTTTTTGCTGTCACGTAAAAATGACGTTGTGACAACGTTACAACACGATGTTTTCACAACATTTTCCCAACGTCATTTCACAACATTGTGACAACGTCATGTCAGAACGTTGTAGCAACGTTGCGAAAATGTTGCATTTAACTTAACCACAACGTTGTGACAACGTTTTCTGCTGTCTACAAATTTACGTTTTGACAACGTTTTATCACAACGTTTTGACAACGTAAGTCCAACGTTGTTACGACGTTGTTAAAACGTTAATGTGTTAGCTGGGAGAGGGCTTCTGAGATCAAGATGGAAATTGAAACAGAAAGCGAACAAATATACAAACCTATTTTGAACGTTGGAGATGAAAATATCGAAGAAAGCGAGCTTCGTGAACAGTTTATGATCGAGGGGACGAAGGCTTTGTTTATACACCGCGTTTGGATAATTGTATTTTTGCCGTTGTTTTAGTATGTCAGGATACGGTTAAACGTTTGAAGTAATATTGAACAGTATGGTTGGCTCTAATTGTGCTTTGTATCGCTGTCCGACCAGCAGAACGCGTGAATTTGCAATTTTTAAAATCCCTGTTGTTGGCGCAGCCGATGTAGTCTGCGTAGGAGACTACAGCCGATGGTGAACAAGAAGAGAAATGCTCGCGAAGAATGGCTTCGAATTGTTTTAAAGGACTAGAGAAAAGACGGTAGATCTTCAGAAACAAATAGGATTTTCCTTTGTGAGCGCCATTTGAAGCCATTGTAAATTTTGCATTTTATGCATGCGCTTGTGTGATCAGATGTAAACAAAGAGGGCATTGTATTTGCATATTTACATATCCCATGTCTATTAAATATCTATCTTCTGTAGACCCCAAACGAAAGATTTTATAACTGGTAGCGTACCACTAAAAATTTACAGTACCTACAATAAACACGAAGTTCCCATAGCTGAGCGTCGCATTCTCAACATATAAATACCAGATAAACAACCTACAAGCTTCGAATTACACACGTTAGTTCAGTGGCTGGCGAGGTGGCAGGTGTGTCCAGTATTGAAATTAAAACTGATGGCAGATTTAGATAATATGCAAATATGGAAAGTAGAAGAAATTCAAGATAACCTAGGAGGTCCAAGGCTCAAAAAGCAATTTAAAATGCAAAAAAAATCTTTAAGTTTTTCACTATCATATGAAAATGGTCTATGCTTGTTTTGTTCCAAAAGTGGTATATTGCATGTAAATATTTTTTGTGGTCACTCGATTTTCATACCAAGATTGGTGAATTAAAGGCCATGATATTATATTATCTGGTATTCAACAGAAATAAAGGGCTGATTACATGGAGCATTTTCAACCCTGGGGTTGTCTCCTACAGATCTACAGTTGGGGCCTACAGGCCTACAGTTGGGACCTACGAGGCCTGGGCTGAACCCTCGCCCTTGTCTGTAATACAAAATGCTATCAAAATCAAATGCATGATTTCAAAATTTTCAATTCAGGGCCAAGTTCAACCCCGCTTCAGCTAGCAGAGTTAAATTTCAACCCCAGGTTGGACTTCGCCTTGGGTTGAAAATTTTATCATGTAATCGTTTCAAACCAGGGCTGAAATTATTCATGAGTTACTCAAGCATTTGATGAGGCTGGTTTTTGTTTTCACTTCCGGGAATGTATAGCATTTCAACCCTGGGGTTGAGATTGTCCATGTAATCGCAAAATATTCAACCCAGTTATGTAAACATGGTCGAGTTCAAACCTGTGGTTAAAAGTGCTCCATGTAATCGTCCCCTTAGTGTGGTGTGATCCGCCTACTGTGGGAACAGGGCTGTACTGAATGGTGGCAGATTACCATAATCAAATCTCTTCTATTTCGACCAGCCAAGAAGGTTTAATTAAAAACAATATAATTATTGTATAATATATGATAAAATTATTGAATTATGGAAACAGTGTTGTGAACTTCTGACAATCTTTAACAATTAAGAAGTTTATCAAGTTTTATATGTTATCGCATCCCCTTTCACAATCACTCAATGCCTTTTCGTTGACTGCCTTTCATTAATTAATGCTATACTTTAAAGATGCGGTACAGTCCGTATGTAAACAAAGGCTTTGTTTACATTTCGGTATCCAAAATATTGAATTTTATTCCACAACTAGTTATCCCCGAGCCGGCGGCGCGAAGCGCCGTGCGAGGGTACTAATTCCCCCCGGCTATTTACACCCGGGGAAACGAAAGCATTAGGGAAGTCTGAAGTTCATCAAATATCGCGGGCGTGGGTCACTGTGCGTGTTTCGGTGGGTGGTCATCCTCACTGATCTCAAAAATATGGCGGACTGTCATGAATAGCGAACACTGATTGGTCAAATTCAAAATTTGTTGTTGTACGACGAATGACGACTTCAACTGACAGATACTTCATGAAAATATTTTGCTTTTTGCACTGCAATATTTTGTACGTTTGCAAAAAACTTTGACAGCTTTCAAAGCAATTTGTTCTATAAAAAGTTTAATAAAACAATTACGGTATCAAATACCAATTGAAAAGATATGGACTACTGTATGGAGCCAAATGAAGAGCGGCAAGGAAACGACAAGAAAGCCGAACGTCTAGCGAAAAGGAGGGAGCTAGCGAAGACGACAACGTTTGCTCGAGGAGACTGCTGAGGAAAGAGAAGCTCGCCTGGGAAAGCGTAGAGAAGCATGGAAAAAAAAGACTGCTGAAGCGAAAGGTAAGCAAAGGCTTGTCTTCACAACGCTATGTACCAATGATACTGTAGCTATATATACAAGTTGAAGTATGATATTCGACCCTCTATATTCGACTATTTCTTCACAATTTTCCAATAAAGAGTTTGTCATGACACGCTCAAGTCAGTATAACCAGACTGTATTTTATTTATATCAGTTATCACAGCCACAGGCAATTTTATGCTGTCAAATACCGTCGGTTGCAACTAAGGGTGAACAGTTGCAGATAAAACATTCTCTATTCTCATTAAAAGGCCTGTAAATGTTTCCAGTAAGTCTCTAGCCCAACACGTTCAGACCACACAAAGTTTTGTTACTTATTATTGTCCACTGTACACATGGGAAACAACAATTAAGTGTTGTTGTTCTTGACAAACATTGAAGATTCTAATCACACGAATGTTTTTATGAGCAACTGTTCATCGTTAGTTGCAAGCGACGGTACAAACATTTTTCCGACTGTGACCGAATGTGCAACGATATATTTTTCAAAGTTGTTGTCAATTCCTAAAATTTGTTTATAGTAAAACGGCCTGCTCAGCACTCACTACTCACGATGATTTCATTTAGAAATGCAGTTACCAGGAAAGGAACTCATTCTAAAATATGTAAATTTAAAAGCATTGGCTAACAGAATAAAGCGATGTGAAGACAAGGTACAAACTTTTATAGTTGCTATTTGTTATAAAATCCTATAAATAAACCGATTCAACAATAATATTGCCTCGAATTTGGATATTCTATGCCGCATGTTTATATTTTATTTTTATAGTATAAAAACAAAATTGTATTACTATGAAATTAAATACATTTCTGTTTATTGACCAGTACTTATTTAATGTCTTCTTCATCCAGTGGTCAGAGTGAATTTCTACTTCTAGCAAGTAAATATTTGACAAGCAGTCTGGAATAAGCACAGGAATAAGCACAATAAGCCATTTTATAGTAGCAATATGAAAAGTTTTTTCTTTTTCCATGACTTTTAATGCATCAGCCAAATCCAAGTGTGCCCATCCCCCTCGCCCAGCCATTTTCCTGTAAAGCACATCCCGAGGGTTGGGTATTTCCACTCGAACCTTAGCCCCGGCGGGGCATTTGAAATTAATAATTTCGATTCTTGCACTTCACTTGGTAGAATTAATATTAGAATGTTAGGGTTTGTAATCCAAGTGAGAATATATACATGTCTATATTTTGTAATCCAAGTGAGAATATACAAATGTATAGTACATGTATATATTTTGTGTATATATTTTGTAATCCAATTGAGAATAGTTTGTAATCCAAGTGAGAATGTACAAATGTATATATTCTCACTTGGATTACAAACCCTAACATTCTAATATTAATTCCACCAAATGAAGTGCAAGAATCCAAAAAATTGAAGTCCATCTTATTACAACCCGCACACCCGATAACCTAAATATACATGAACTTACGGTTCAAGCACAACAGCTGGCCTCTGTAGC